CTGTGTCCGTGTGTCCTGTCTGTGTGGCACTGTGTCTGTGTGACGCTGTGTCCGTGTGTCCTGTCTGTGTGATGCTGTGTCCGTGTGTCCTGTCTGTGTGATGCTGTGTCCGTGTATCCTGTCGTGTGATGCTGTGTCCGTGTATCCTGTCTGTGTGATGCTGTGTCCGTGTGTCCTGTCTGTGTGATTCTGTATCTGTGTGTCCTGCCTCTTGTGACTCTGTATAAGATTCTTTAACCAAGATGGGAGTAGCTTTTATTGGATTAACCCTGTGTTGAAAACAGCTATCAAAGCTAGGGGACAGAACCCACTGAACAACCACATGAAGACATTGGAGAGCAGTCAGTAAGGACCAAAGGGCTGAAGCTGTGGTAGGGGGGAAGAGAGGCCAAGCTGAGGAGGTGGGCTGCAATGTGAAGGCAAAGTCCCAGACAAGGGGCCCAATTCACCAGCCTACGTAGTCCCTTCGTAAGCCGAGCATGAACTGGGGAAGAGTCGAAGAGCTCAGCAGAAAAGAGCAGCCAGAAGGCCTAAGAGCCATCCAGTGTAGAAGACACAGCTAGGCTGCAAGCTGTTGACAGGCACCCTAACCCTTAGTTGAGGTCTCTGAAGGGCCCCGTCCCAGGAGTCAGGCAGCGCTGAAATCGATTACCCTGACAAAGCCACAGTCCAGAGTCATTGGGACTAAAATCAGCTCTTGCTACTTCATGTGCCCAGAAAAAGCACACCCAACTTTTGGAACCTTCACAGTATTCCATTGACAATGTCCAGTTATCAGTCCACTCAGAAATTATGAGGCTGCCCAGGAACAGACCAATACGGCCTTCCTAGAGTTGAACTATGTTGAAGAAAGTACGAAGGATGAGTAAAATGGGGTTTGAAATAGTAGAGATTGCACCGCAGAACTGCAATCTGAAGAAAGTAGTCTAGTGGACATTCTAAAATTGAGAAATACCATCTAAAACTCCCTAGAAGAAGACGGGTCAGTAGACGGTGTCAGAGCTGACAGCAAAGCAGAGCACAGGAGGCCCGCGGGGTATGGCCTGGGTCCAGCACCCGCTCATCAGACTCTCAGGAAGTGGAGGCTGGGCAAAGGTTAAAGGTTAAGGAAGAAACCCACAGATGACGGAGTTCAGTGAACAGAAGCTAGATAAACTGGAAAAATAGACACAAACTCATTATCCTTAAAGCTTTTTAAAAGACAAAGGAAAATCTCAAAAGCACCCTAACCCACCACCACCAATGCATCCCTTCAGTGGGACCCTAGTAAGTCTGGTGGGCAAATTTTCCAATAGATTGTAAGTAAGGACAGTGGAGAGACAAATGCAAAAAAAAACAACCTACTAACCTAAAATTCTATACCTGAAAAAAGCTTACAAAATGACGAGAAGATTCATAACTTTTTAGACAAAACCTCAGCAAATGTGTGGTCATTGACCCTTGAAGCAAGTGCCGTTACTGGGAAGTCCTCAAGCTGAATGAAATGCTCCCAGATGGAAGGAGAGACGTGTAGGAAGAGCTGGCATGTGGCTAGTTGTCCAGGGTGGGGGCTGTCAGTCCCAGACTGGAGGACACCTGGGCGGTGTGGCTGACTGGCAGCACATACCATGACCCTGACCAGAAGCTCTGTGGGCAGACAGTGCAGAAAGGCTGCCTGCTCAGGAGGGCGGGGCTCACCATGGTCATCGGTTGGCCCTAATGTTCTGAACTCCATGAGTTGCTACAGTGAGTTTGTAATCCCTCTTGAAAACTAAACCTTGATTTTGCAAAAGACAGTACGGCATTAAAAAAACTATCGTATCTCTTGATTTAACATACACAAAACCAAGCCGCATCCATCGAGTCGGTTCTGACTGTAAATCTTTGTAGGAGCAGACTGGTGCGTCCTTCTTTCCTGCAGAGTAGCTGGTAGATTGGAACTGGCAGCCTAGCAGTTTACAGTCCAGTGCTTATCCCGCAACACCACCAGGGCTCAGTTTCATATACATAGCAAAAAGAAAAAAGTCACGTTCATTTTTTAATTGCCACAGATACCACTGGGCTAATAACAATGTGGTTACAAATCGGGCTGTGAACCTCAAGGTCAGCAGTTCGAAACTACCAGCTGTTACGCGGGAAAAAGATGAGACTCTCTGCTCCCATAAAGATTTACAGCTTCAGAAACCCTGTACAGGGTCGCTATGAGTCGGAACCGATTCCACGGCACTTAACAACAGGACCATTTAAGTTGGTAAGGAGGACTCTGTGTGTGCTACACAGCTGTGGAGATGGGGTTACTGCCCATCCCCAGTTATTGGAAGGTGTACGGATCCTAGGAGGTCAAACGAGCGATCGGCCAGGACTGTGAGAAAGGGCAGGGACAACAGAGGGGTACGCTGGTCCAAGCTCTAGTGGGCATTTGCTGGGGTGATGGGCCATATAGCGGATGGGGCTCTCACTTGAGACAATGTCTGTTAACTGGGAAGAGGTTCCCACTTTTGTGGATTTTCTCTGAAAACTGGCGTTGGTTTCATCGTATCAAGTGATTGCATGGTCACAGCCAGAAAGTGGATTGTGCCATGTTGTTGTTGGGGGCTGTGGAGTTGGTACTGACTCGTAGTGACCCTGTGTAGGTTTCCATGGACTGCCCACCTCAGTTAACAGTCCAATGTTTGTCCTAAGCGCCACACGCCTGGCTTCCGGATTATGCCTGTTCTTATTGAAATCTGCATGCCCGCCTGAGCGTGGTTCCACACCAGCGCCCCACCCCCACCCCCCCACCCCCCCATGTCGGGCTGTGTCTGTTTTCTGGCATTTTGGGCCATAGCTTGAAGGGGGGGCGGGTTCTAGTTCAGAGTCCTAGAGTGCATGCCCTTCCCCCCACGCCCCCTAACAGAGCTCTACGGCCTACCTGTCTGCAGTGTTGGTGTGGGGCAGCTAGAGAGGAGGTGGGACCCCAGGGTCTGCTCCCAGCTCCCAACCCTGAGGGGCCCGGATGTGCTCATGTACAGCCTCTTATGCTTCGTGCGGACAGGCCAGGGCAGGGATAGTGGGTGAGTGGCCGGCAGTAGCCAGAATTTCAGGTCAAGGGCAGAGGCCTGGTAAGATAGTCAGGTCCTGGGAGGAAGCTCTGGAGTGTCCTTTCTCATGGCGTTACTGAGGAGAACAGGGCCTCTCATCAAAGCTACAGGTCGCTAGTGAGGAGGAGCAGACAGGCACCCAGTGTGCAGGGAGCTCTCTGCTCCCGATGAAGCCTCCAAGGGCATGTTGGGGTCATCATGGGACTAAGCTCGGGCCACTCATTCTGAAATGAGAGTGGATGAAGGAGGGACCCTGGGAATGTGGGAAGAGGAGGTCCTAAAGACAGTGGCACATGACAGGCCGTGGTGCAGGGGAGGGGATGAGAGCATGTGGTCATCTTCCATTTTCACGGAATGTCCGTTTTCACATGACAACCTGGTCTTTTGGATGTAACCATACCAATAAATGAGGAGTAGGTGTCTTTTTAGTTCGTCAGGCTCTTGATTTTATTTTGGGGCGCCGTGGTTAGAGTGATGCTATCTATAAAAGTGGCTCTCACCCCTAGACTCCATTCTACTCTTGAAAAAGGGCAATTATGTCTGCATGAGACACGTTATGTTTAAATGTTTGTTTTATATTAAAGTATGAGTAGAAGCCACTACCTGTTAACGCAGAAATAGCATGTCTTAATCAGCAGTAGCGTTGCCTTGCCTTCTCTGTGCCTCACAGTGCCTGGTAGGAGTGTGCAAGCCAATTGGGCCCCTCCTGCTAGCGGCTCACCTAGTGGGAGTGACACGTAGGCATGCCGACCCCCAGCAGCCGTCTCGCATGGCGGCCGCATGAACTTTCCACCGGTTTGCTCAGAGCAAGGGGGTCTCTGTCATGCCCCCCTCCCCTGGGGTCAGCCGCTCCTGCACGTGGAAGGTCAGTGTCCTGCTTACCAGCTGTTGTGGGGGACATCACATGTGATGTGAAATGCTCTGGCATTTCATTTTTGCTTAAAACTATCAGCTCATTCTTTTGAGGTTAGCTGTAATACATCTGCTCTCTGCTTTTAAGTGTATTTCTGTCCTTTGTGAACAAATGTTTCTGCACTTGAGCAAATACCGTAGCTCCTGTTTCTTATTGCTGTTGTTGGTAGGTTATAAAGGATTCTTTTCTTACTCTTGGGTTGCCTTGGCCCCATCTCAGGGATCAGTAAGCGCTCCCTACCAGTTTCTGAGAAGTTGCCTGTCACATCCTTCCACAGGACCCATGTCCTGGCTCTAGTGGAGCCGGCAGGTACAGTCTGACCACCTGGCCTTGTTGACTTTTGTTGCTAGAAGAAGGTAGGTGACAGCCTCCCACAGTGTGCACCTGGGCATGGCTGCCCTCGCTACCTCCACTAGCCGAGACTGTGATTAAATGAAGTATGACAGGTACTATTGAGGAAGCCAAAAGCTGTGTGAATGTCTGCGTTTGTTTACCTGCCCAAGCGTCAGGGTCTGATTCAGTGCTGAAAGGTGCCATGCAAACCGATTTCCTCATGTGGGACCCTATAAAATTCATTTCAGAGTTGTTCAGCCACCTCAGCAACAGATGTTTGGTGAAGAGTTGCCTGCTAATCCAGATGAAGAGCGGCCTGGCCCTTCTAGAAGAAAACGGCAGCCCAGTATGTCAGAGACAATGCCACTGTATACTCTTTGTAAGGAGGATTTAGAGAGTATGGACAAAGAGGTGAGCCAACCGGTCCTGCGCAGGGACCCAGGGCACCACACGTGGGCAGGGCACACCTTTGTTTGTCCTGGAGCGCGTCTTGTAATAGAGATCCATTTTGGTTTTAAATGGTGTGTGGCCAAGAGCGGTACATGTATATGCTTTAATATAAAACTCAGGTTTTGTCATGACTTTGGCAGTTCTCAGCCCCTTCCCACCCCAAGGATGCTGGGTAGTGTCTGGAGACCTTCTTGGTTGTTGCAGCGGGTTGGGGGAGGTGGCATTGGCAGTGATTTGGGGGGAGGCCAGGGAGGCCACTACACATCCTACAATGCACAGGTTCCCCCACAGCAAACAGTGATCAGCCCAGATGTCGGGTGCTGGAGCAGAGAACCATGGGTTCAGTTGTTGTAAAGTCAGAAACCGTGGCGGCAGTTTATGGTGGCACCTTGTTACTGCACCACTGGATGGATTCAGGCAGCATGGCGGGTTTGTGTGTGTTTCCAAATCTGATCCGTGAGAATGATGCTAACAGAGGAGTCCAAATCCATTTTGAATTGGAGCCTAAACAGTGGGGATTTTCCTTAAAGGAAAAGAAAACAGTCTTCTAAGGAAATGTTGTTCTCGATGACCTGGTTTCACCTTTGACAACAAGACACAACCAGATGTTCATACTTACACTAAGTCCTTTTGTGGGCAGTTTCATACCTTTTGGCATCTTTCTTACTTAGTAGATGGTTTGTGCAGATTTTTATTTTGTGGCGGATGTTTCCAAAAGGCTTTGCAGAAATGTACCCATGGCATGCGGCTGTGGTGTGCCTAATGACACCCTTCAGAGGGACTGTTGGAAAAGAACACACTCACAATGTACAGCTGTCGTTTGTACGCTAGTGTCGTCTTCGGAAGACCCCCAGCATGTGTCTGTGTAGTGTACACTGGAGGGTGACGTCTTTCAGAGGGACCATTCTAGAAGAACACATCCACAGTGTGGATCTGTGATGTGAACACTGGTCACAGCCTTCAGAAGGACCATTCCCAGAAAACATGCCCATGATGGGTGGCTGTTGGGTGTATACTAGTCCTGCGAGATGCTGGCTCCCACAAATGCCGCCTTCGCTTTTGGCGCCTTAGATCCTGCAGACAAAGAGCTCACCATGCATGTGTGCACTGAGGGCTTGGGGCTATAAAGAACCTTTTCCATTCTTGGGAATGCAGTGAGGAGCGTTTAGAGGGAGCGAGCATGAGTATTTTCGTTTACTGTCAACAACTGAAAATACAGAAGGATGTGTTCCATATAGAATCTCAGCAGGTACCATGACTTGTTGGGAACACACGCTTTTTTCAATTTTTCTGAATAACTCTGTTTGCCATTTCTCTGCTTTTTTGGAAGACTTATTCAGTGCACCTGCTGTCTGTCTTTCTTTCATGAAGATGTTTTCTCTGGGATAATTTCCCTCAACTCCTACATCGGGGACAGCAGGTTGTATGTGAAGGATGATGGGCTACTTCCACTGAGGAGAGGTCCACACTGTCCTGTGCCTTTGTGCAATCAGTTTGCTAGGAATTACTACAGCCATGGTTCTTGTTCGCTCGGCGTTAGGTAGAGATTGAAGTCTTCCTATGAATGAATGTCTGTGGTGCTGTCTTACTTCTGTTCACTAGAAGAGCAAAACCAATGAAACAGAGAATGTAGCATGTTGTTGAGTGCCATCGAGTCGGTCCTGACTCACACAGACCTTACATAGGGTCTACATAGGCTGTGAATCTGTGAGCGAGTAGCTAGCAGGCTCGAACTGCAGACCTTGTGATTAGCAGTCCACTGCTTATATTGTATGGCGCCACCAGGCTCCCTATATGGATACGAGGAGGCTTCAGAAAGTTCTTGGGAAAATTCCATTATCTGTCCATTCCATTTTTCAAACACTTTTTCAAGCCCCTTTGTACATATGTAAGTAGACTTTTGGTGGTAGTGGTGGTGTGCTGTGGAATCGCTTCCGATTTATAGTTTACTTTTAGGAAATGGCTCCTGCCCTTGCGGGAGCTGGCAAATCCCAAATCCGTGAGTTGGGCGACTGCAGACCTCTGTTGACTCACAAGAGTTTGAGGGCAGGAGAACCCAAAATCTGCAGGTCAGGCAGCAGGCCAGTATCCAGAGGAGGACCATTGAAGAGGAGAGTGCAGGGTTAAGAGGGCACAAGCTCTGCCTAGACATCCCTATATACCCTGGAGGCAGTCTACACCTCAGAAAAGATTCCCTTTGCAGCTGATTGGCTGCTCGCGTCCTGGAAGGCTGTATTCCATCATGGAGGATCAGGCAGCCCAGACTGCTGAGAATTGTAACCTCTGCACGTTAATAGTCGCTGATGCCTACGGCAGCTTCATTCACTGAAATCAAATTCCTTCTTTTCAGAAAGTTGGCTTTTGGCGCCTTAGATCCTGCAGACAAATAGCTCACCATGCATGTGTGGGCTTGGGGCTTGGGGCTATAAAGAACCATTTCCATTCTTGGGAATGCAGTGAGGAGCATTTAGAGGGAGGCTTTGATTTGGCTCTTGAGGAGCAAGAGTTGTTGAGGGAGAGATGTTTGTGCCAAGTGCCCGGTGAGTACTAGACTGGTGTCTGGTAAGTGGCCATGAGAAGACAGAGTTTGGGGCCGGGGATGGGTGCCCACCACACCCCAAGAGTGACAATGCTGCTTCTGCCTTGAAGCATCCAGAGAGGTGCGTGTGGGGGTGATTGTGGCTCCAGGCTTCTAGAGACACCCTGGGAGGCTGGTTAGTGTGCTCTGTGCCCACCACGGGTGATGAGGCTCTAGAGGCATGGTGTAAGAGGAAGGCTTGAACCAGTGAGTGCAGTGGTATGTCCTCCGTGAGTGCTCACGCCACTTGCTGTGACCCACAGACAGAGGCTGCACCCACAGCTCCAGAGCCTCGGTGGGTGCAGGGCACAGCCCAGTTACCCTGAAAGGTGCCACCTTCTCATGGTGAAGGCTAGAGCAGGCACCTGCTCACCACGGTCCCTTAGCTTATGTGACCCAGCATCCAGCTGCGTGCCGTGTCTAGTGACATCTAGGTGGTGACCATTCTGGGTGCCCTGTTTGGTAACACAGACATGGTGAGTTTTCTGGGTGCTGTATCTGGTATCACTGACAGCCATCGTTGACAGGAAGCTGGACAGTTGAATGCAGGGACCCTGCTTTGTGCCACAGCTCTCCTGGACCCAGTCCCTTTGGCTGCCGGCTGGGGAACGGTCCTCAGCTCCCTTGGGTCTTGGGCCAGTTCTGTCGACGCTGCCGTGCTAAGGCTCCAGGGGCTCCGGACACAGGACTCCGTAGAGAGGGTCCGAACATTGGGCAGTATATGGACAAGAGCAATCCTGTGGTGGGATCTCAGAGGGAGCTGTTTACAGGGCTACCTGGTCCACCCACATGGACACTGGACCTGCTGTCCTCCGAGAGTAAGCTGGAGCCAAGGAGAGCTTTGAAATTGCATTGTAGGATTAGTGGTACAGATAAGCATGTTATTCTATGTTGCTTTACCCTTAAACATGTGATAGTCTGATTTCTCATGTTACAGTATGCGATACTTATGGTAGCCATGGTAGTCCTTCACGCCTTTCTGTACAGCTGGAAGAGACATGGGAATCCTTCACACCCTCAGCTGTATCGAGTCCTGCACAGATAGGGGGTGTACTCAGTGTCCAAGTTAACGTAGAAACCCATGGAGCCCTCACACAGATGGTGAGGAGTGTACTTGATGTAGAAGTTAACGCTGGAACCCATGAAGCCCTTGACTGTTCAGAGCCCTGCATAGGTAGAGTTGGCGTACTTGATGTAGAAGTTGGTTACACTGAGTCCTGTGCAGACTTTGGGGTGCTTACTTGGCTTCTGTCACAGTTGGAGGGCAGAGCATTTCGGCATGAGAAGCTTGAACTCTCTGATGAGCGATGTGGAGTGCAGTACAATCCCACACCTCAGTAAGTGCTACACTGACCAGGGGTTTCTGACCTGTGCCTTCCACGTTAGTGTGGACACGTCCACCACGGGGGACAAGCTCTGTACCAGCGCCCAGTATCGGCGTAGGCGTGCCCACCACCCCGTATTAGCACAGGCACCTACCCCATGAAAGACAAGCATCTCCCTTGCTGCTTGCCACCTGTGTGTGTGGCCTGTGAACAGTGATGCACCCTCCCGACTGATGGGCTGCTGCGTGGGAAATGCAGCTGTTCGTAGTGCACACTCTTGCTTCACGGGATGCTGCTGCCGTAGCTCAGCCATGCAGTGTGGCCTCTTCTCTGCAGACCAGGTGCCCTACAGGCTCCGACTAGGATTCTTGTTACTGAGACGCCTGGGCTCTGATGTGTTCTTTCCATGTGTTCGGTGGTGTTGTGGTTGGTGTGCAAGTCTGAGGAGGATGGCGGTCAGGATTGTAGCCGATCCCTTCACTAGCTGTTGTTACGTCACCCCGGCCACACAGTTTCTATTGGCTCACTTGTGGAAGTTGATTTTCAGTCTCTTCCTTTAACCTTCTCCACATTGTTGGTGTTTGGGCCTTTGAATTGATTCAGACTTAGGCAGTCCCATGTGATAGAGAAGGGTTTTATAGACCGTCCCCAGGTATGGTCCTGTAGGGTAAGCACTAGGCTGCTAAACTCAAGGTTGATGGTTCAAACCCACCAGCTGCTCCTCAGAAACCCCATGCAGGGTTGCCGTGAGTCAGAGGCGACTTGATGACACACAGCGCACAGCAGGTCTTTGTCCTGCAGAACCACGGGGCGGGTTCAGACCACCAACTGTGGAGTGAGGAGCAGCCAGGCCAGCCTCCACTGATGGGCAGCTGGTGACAGAGCTTGGCAGAGGGACCTGTATGGTGGTGAAGGGTCTACATTTTATTTGAAGTGGTAAACTGTGGAAGGGAAGAATTTAGGGGTTGAAAGAGAGATCGATGGTCTCATCTCAGAGCAACCACTGACCTATGGAGCAAGGTCACCAATAATAGAGCCCAGTAATAGTCAACCAACACCGCAGGGGCCAGCGAAGAGGAGCAAGCACAAAGGGAAAAATACCAGAAAGACCGAACGGAGCGCTGTCTGTAAGAAACACACCGTGGCTGTCGTGACGTAAACGGAGCGCTGTCTG